ACTAAAATTAAGTAGAAGTAAAAAGTTAATCTAAAAAAAAAACCTTCGTGTTGGTCAGGGATCATTTTTATCTTGCTTATTGCTACATATTGATTTTACACGTTTACAGGAACCAATACATTTCATAAATTTTCTTTTATAGGAACACAATGGCCCGTTACCCCTAAAATGTTGTGTCTAAATTAAAAAATCTTATTTCACAGAAAATTGAATGTCTCTATACCTTTTTTTATATTGAGAGGTGTTTAGAACTGATGTATACTCTTGTAATATTGTTTCGGTTATCAGTACATGTGAAATTTTTCATTGAATTTTACATTATATGGCAAACGTTTAAAGTTTCCAGGTATAGTTTCATTTATTGAAATTTGTTTGTAAGATACTGTGTGACAACAAGCGTGGCTGGTTTCAACCATTTTTTATGACTTGGTCTCCTAATAGGTTAAGAGTCCCAAACCAATAAGTTTAGGGGTATATTCTTTTTTCATTTAAACTCATCATCTTGACAAATATTAAGTATTTCCGTTTCTTTCCTGGCATTACATGTTTCGCTGGAGCCAAGAACACTTGTTAAAAAATATAAATTATTTGGAATATGCGTTTTGTAATCCTTAATTTTCAAATTTTTAAATTTAAATTATGCCATTTATTTCCGTTTTAATATTTTGGCAAATCTTCATCATTGCTGACGAAGCAAAGGATAAATAGTTGGACGTTTCCGTCTTAGTGTGATGCACTACTGCTTCAATGACTTGCTCCTTAGAAAACCGTTTCAAAAAATTTCTAGGTTCTTCTAGGTATAGATTTCTTCTTGGAGAATTCACTAATTCGATCCACAAAGTTGCCTTTAACTTTTTTAACCAAAAATCCCAATGTGCGAGCTTATTTATTGTTTTACGTGATTCTGTCAAATAACATGAAGCATTTAATTTCGTATTTCTTCGAGTTTTAATTTTGTTTTTCCATATTAGTCATAACTTGTCAGAGCTTTTGATTTTTTAAACGTTTCTGGCAAAATACGCAATTTAAAACTCGCATAGGTTTTGTAACAGTTTTTATGTCATTGTAAACTTGTTCCCTTATGTCATTAAAATTCAAAAAAATATGTAGAGCATCAGGATCCTTGCCTTAACAGATGTTCATGCGGATTTTTGCACATTCAATTAATTTTTGTTTGGATATTTGTTTTGACGTCAAGAGCTTTCCGCCTTATTGACAAGGTACACATAATTGGAAGTTAAAAACTTATCCTTTAGTGTTCGTTAAATGCTTTAATTTGATTGTTGAATCAAGTTCGCAATTAGAACATGTACTGATTTTAATATCCATTTGGATGAAAACTATAACTAATGCGTTATTATTTATCATTCTCACACAAAAATAAATATATTTTAGTCACATTAAAAACTACTTCACTCCCTCAAAGAAAACTATTTTGACACTTAAAACGTAGACATAAAAAATAAATAGAATTATCCTCGTTGCGAAAGTGGTTGTACAAGCGCACGTCGGAACCGCAAAGTCTATTGCCGTCCTCGCAAATCTGACCCTTCCTCGCTGCTTCGCTGGCTTCCGTGATATTCACGACATGGTTTTACATTTTGCTAATTAAAAACAAAAACTATCCATCAGATTGGGGTTTTTAAAAAAATAACGGATTCGTTGACCTTCAATGCATATCGTTTATAGGAAACAGTTTTTTGATAAACCAAATAGTTTTCAAGTTCCAGCGAGGTAAACGATAACATAAAAAAGAGATTTCAGAGCAAGCTTTTATTCATAAGATACTCCCATATAAAAGCATTATGCGGTGTTTTTAAAATGAAAAAATAAAGTATTTCTAATAAAAATATTGAAAAGCGGTTTTGTCAATTTAAGAGCAGTATGGTGTAGATAACAAAAAAATAATAATTTCTTGACAATTTTTAGAAAATTCACCCCCACCACCCCCTGCACCGCACGATTTTTATAAGACCAATTGATGATGCATTCCTTATGTACAAGAAATGATAAAAAGTGATTATTACATTTTAGCAAGAAAGTGCAAACGAAAATCCAGAACTGCAGAACTATTGACTAAGACTAACATAAGGTATCCCAACATCTTACACGATATTTACAGTCTGCGACCTTATTTTTCATAATTATAAAAAACCATATTCCAAAGTATTTCCAGCAAAGACTGCATTTTAGCTTAGATGTATATACGTCAAACCGTCGTTTTCGGGCTATATTATAACACTATTTTGAACTATTCAAAAATAGTTCATAAATTTCCGGCTAAAATACTACAATCAAAAAATGAATTTATTTAAAAAAAAATTATTTAATTAAATAAAAAGAGCAGTAATATATTTAAACTCTAGTATAAATTAAGAGCTGAAAATGAACCAATACAAATAAACAATGTCTGAAAATAACCTTTATCAGCATTTAATTATTTAATTGATCTCGCGAAATCTACGATATTTCAGGCTTCTTACTTTTTATTTTATGTTTTCCTTTTAATTCATTTGCGCCAAAAAATTTGTTAAGAACAATAAATCTAAATCTAATAGATCCCAGAATTCTGGAGTCTATAGATTAAACTGCGGATCATGTAAGATTTATATTGGACAAACAGGTAGATCTTTCAAAAAACGTATCAACGAACATCGACGATCATTTAAAAACAATAGTTCAGATTCTAATTACGCTATACATTTAAATTTAGAAAAACACAATTTTGACGACAATTTCGATATTTTACACACTGTTTCAAAAACTAGAAAATTAAATTTACTAGAAGCTATGGAGATTAATAAAATGAGAGGTTCGAATGTATTACTTAATGACCAACTGGATTTGAATGGATTCCCCTTGTTAAATCTCAATTTAATACCTCACATTAAGTAATTACTACCTGTTTTGTATTTATAAACATCGGTACCGTTTGCTATTCGCATTTGATAAAGGCATCATCCACGGCAAGCTTCAAAGTATGTGCTCCTTACACTTCGTAGAATGGGGCTACGCGGAATTTGTGGCAATGCCACTTTCTCGAATTCCATTTTCTATTTATTCATTTTCTTGCTCTTTATTTTCTTCTTCGTCAGTAACAATATCGCGTTGCTCGTCTTCTATCAAACTCACCGCTTTGAGCAGATTTGCCCCATTGTCTGTTCTTATAGTGATATTCTTTTAATACAGTCGATATTATTCTTAAAACGTTTGAGGAAGCATGTCTTTCCTTCAATTCCCGCATCGCCAACGCCCTTAAAACTAGACAGTTATTATTGCCAATAAATTGAGCGCTGATTCCTAATATACTTCTACCAAATCTACTTGCTCCATCAACTTTGAAAGATAATAACTTCCTCTTTAACTCTGTCATTATTTTTTCTTTTAAACCCAAAGCATTTAACGACACTTTTTTTATATTTCGCAGGTAAATTGCGATTTTATTTTCTAGTCCAGCTATTATCAGTTCTAAAATTGTTCGAAAACCCGAATCATTGAATATGCTGAATGGACGGCCGTAAACCGTTACCAGTCCTGTACACGTTTCCTTCAACAAATCAGGAGTATTATAAAACTGAAATATTGGTTTTTTGTTTTATAACGACATCATCTCAGGTAGGTTGGATATTTAACGGCCTTTTTTTACTTGCTGCTGATGAATTTGAAGAGGGCGGTTGTGATGAGCCTGCAGAAATGTCAAAAATTTCTTTATGACAAGATTGTACATGTCGCTGCAAGTTTCCTGAATGATTTGTAATTGTAAAAAGGCTTATTATTTTAAAATGTTGACCTAGTGTAAGAAAATATTGGATGATGGCCTGGAAAAAATAATATGGGAAAACCCTGCATGTGCGAGCGATTGTTTGGCGATCACGTCACCTTCGGTTCTCCTACTTTATAGCAGTCCAGTAGTGATGAGCGCGAGTAGATACCCGTGAATCTTCAGTAAAGTAGTGGGAAATGGAAGTGTGAGCTTCAACGGCCAACGTAAATAGAAGACCCTTGGATACCAGATATGTGTACTAGGAGTAAATTACAAAAATATTGAAAATATTAAAACGGATAAAACGGGTAACAGAAATTATTTATTTTGTTTTCAATCACGAATGAAGAATAAAAATTTCGTTTTCTTTCTTATAAATTATTCAGTTAATTTAGTAGATGGATAAAGGGACTTCCAGGGACCCCCTAACCTCACTTTTTGGCCACTCGGCCACGGGCCCCCCGCCCCCGGGCCCCTCGGCCACGTGTCTTCTTCTTTTCGCCCTTGGGCCATTCGCTCATAGGCCACTCGCCCATTGGTTCAAGGTCGCTCGCCCATTGGCCGCTCGGCCTAACCAAACCGTCGTCCGTGGTACCGACCTAACCAAATTGTCGTCCGTGGTTCCAACCAAACCGTTGTCCGTGGTGCCAGCCGTTGTCAGTGGTGCCAACCGTGGGGGTCCGTGGTGTCAACCGTTCGCCCGCGGGGGGCCCCCGGGCGTAGCCTCCGCTGGTAGAGGTGGGGGGCGTAGCCCCCGCTGGTAGAGGTGGGGGGGCGTAGCCCCCGCTGGTAGAGTCCCCGCCCCCCCGGCCCTAACCAAACCGTCGTCCGTGGTGCCAACCTAACCGTCGTCCGTGGTGCCAACCAAATCGTTGTCCGTGGTGGTGCCAATCGTCGTCCGTGGTGGTGCCAACCAAACCGTTGTCCGTGGTGCGTCGCCCCGCGGGGGGGCCCACCGCTGGTAGAGTCCCCGGGGGCTGCCGCTGGTGCTCGCCCCCCCGTCCTTCCGCCCCCCGTCCCCCCGCCCCCCGCCCCCCCCGTCCCCACGCCATATGTTGATGTAAAAAAAAAAAAAAACTTTAGTGTTTTTTTTATTTAGACACACAAACACTCATATACATTTTTTTTACATTAGAATAAAAAAAAGACCAACATAAGCCTAATTTTTTTTACAAATGTTTTTTATTATTAGGTTGCAATGAATCGTCATTAAATTATTATATATTCCGGTGTGATCGTCGTTTTTTCTGAGGGGGATTCTAAAAAGACTATCATAAGCCTAATTTTTTACAAATATTATTATTAGGTCGCAATGAATATGTTAAAACAAATCAATTATCGCCATTAAATTATTATATATTCTGGTGTGATCATCGATTTCTTCTTCGGGTTCTAATTCAAAGTGTATTTCGGAATAGCAACTTTCACACCAACTCCTCTGACTCTGGTATACCATATATATTAATGCACAGGCTTCGACTGTAGGTATGTGCCGATAATCGCAAAAATCAAATTTGTCAAATTTGATTTTTGATTTTTTTTCAAAAGTTATAAAAGCGTCTTTGCAAGATTCACAAACCATCAACAGAAATGTTCGGGTCATCACTATATAGTGTTTTTCCCATAAATAATAGCTATAATGCTCAAAAGGATGGTCTGTATACCTTGGCCATACTAAAATGGCATTTCGATGTGCCAACGATACTTTCTTTTGACGGGTTATCAAACTCAAATCTGGTGGAGGTGGTCGTTCACATTTGACAGCGAGTGCATTAATATATTTCCACCTATATTCGGGATATTTTTCCATTATCTGTAGCGTTAGCGTCCTCGGTAAGGTCGTTTCAAGCAGAAAATGTGCAACAGAATGAACGTTTTCACTAATTGACTTTATACATAGATCTTTCAACGACAACAATTCGGCCATTGTCTACAACAGAGAAAAAAAAATTACAGTGCCTTGTAATGTCCCCACGGAAGAGTATCAAACGTGTTTGCTATAAGATATCTTTTGTCGTCATACGGACTTAGCGCCACTTTAATTTGTTCGATACTAAACACCTCGTGCGTATAAGAACGAATGGTTCGTTGAGTAGCATGTTTTTCTTTTAAATTTTTCAAGCAATCAACAAAATCTTCAAGTCATTTTATTTTTAACAATCTGGTAGTTTACACCCTTTGATTTTTTTACAGTTTTTCCGTTTAAGATTTTATAAGTGTACATTTTCGATCTTAGCCCGGCATAGTGTGAAATTATTGAACCGTTGGCCTCGTCCTTCATTAGACCCAGTACTTTCTTATTGACGCGAGGCATATTGTATGGATTATCAATGGGATAGTCGGACGTGTCGAATTTGCTTAAATTGGACTTAATAACCTCTTCGTATACATCATCACAATGGATGTTGTAAATGAAACTGTCCGTGTCCATATACTGAATTTTACATTTCTCCGGACCTAACTTGGGTAGCATGTAATCGTAATGAAACGAATACATGATAATTTTAGATAGATCCAGAATTGACATTCCAATGTAAAGGGGTTTGTTAAAAATAAGTTCCGATTTTTTCAGTTCCACCAACATTAGATTATCATCTAGTACAGTTCTATTGTGAAATCGGGGACTAGCAATTAAATTTTTAGCACCGTAACGATCCTCCCACTTTCTAACAAATTTTACGACCCGATGCTTACGTATGTTTTCCATAGTTTTTCCGAACACCGCGTTGTTAAATAATTTAAAAAGATTTTTACCACTTGCGTCCGTAAGTGATTATTTAGATCGATATATTCTTTTAGCCAAGAAGATTGCCTAAATTTTAATACTCTGTGTATTTTAGTAAGAACGAGTCCGTGTTTTAAAGCTTGCTTTAAATTTCGATAGTGTATAACGTAATTGGTTTTATTAAGAAGGGTTGTCATCAATTTTGGTAATTTTGAATTGGGAGGCACGCGATGCTCGGCACAAAATGGGAAATTTTTTATGTAGATCGTGTAAACTCTGAGGGTATTGCAAATCTACCTCCAAAATATAGCCTACCCCGCCCGTGTCTGGAACATTATTAATGCTAAGGGAGGCAATTTCTTCCCGAGTCAACCATGTGAATCCGCCGTAGGGAAGAGGCTCCGACATAGCCTTGCCGTAAAGATTGTTAACGTCAAAAAATGTGAGATAATTCGATTGCTTTGATGGATCGTAATTGGAGATGTACTTGTTGTTTGCCTCAACGTACCTGCCAACGCACACCGAAATCCCACCCCGTATACCCTGTTCGATAAACATAATCTGATCAATGTCACGCATCAGTTCTAAACGACATTTTGTGAATCTAAGCATACAGTCCCACGTATATCCGGGCATACTAAAATACCATGCCGGGTCCAAAATATGCGTCACCATACAATTTTTTCGAAAATTTTCAAATACGTCGGCCAAAAGAATAACGTCCGTTTTCAAATATAAATCCGAATATTCGCCCAAGTTTTTAATTTCAAACGCGGACCAGACTTTTTGCGCATGAGCATACTTTTCTTCACTAATGTCGGACTCATATAATTTATTGTAAAAAGCATCGATGGGCGGTAAACTCGTTTCGTTTAATTTGTCGTAGTCGTCTATGTAATCATAACAAAATACACCCTTTTGCGACAATAAATTTAGTTTTGATTCGTCTTGAAGGTGAGAAAATTCCTTTTTTAATATGTAAAGTTCATTTTTGTCGATGCTGTTTACCAAATTGTCTAGAGACGCCCCCAAAAATCTAAACGAATCTATAAAGAATCGTCATAAGAACATTTAAAATAATATGCGGCACTATATGCCTCATGCTTTTGATATTTTCGCGTTTTGTCTGAAATTACCAAATTTACATCTTTAAGTTGACTTTCGAAATCGGCGTAGATTACAAATGGCGTGGTTTGTTTGTATATATGGTTTCGAAATTCAACATAGTCGTATTTGGGAAAAGACACTTTATAATCGTTCAAACTGACACACAACCTTTCATGATCCTTTAAGAGCGTTTCGCTACTGAAGTAATTCAAACACCTATCGCAAATATATTTTTTACCGTTATGTCTACTAAGCTGGCGCGACACTAGTCGAGATAAAATTTTAATATAACAATAATGATATTTAATTTCTTCTTCTTTTTCATATTTATGGTCCTCTGCCGTCGTCGGTTCCGGATCAAAATCATTAATTTTTGGATAATACTTATTTTGAATTAATAGTAAATTGACATGTTTTTCGCGTTTTTCTTTAGTCAAACGGACCGGTAACACTGAATAAAAACTTTTACTGTTATTTTGAATTAACTCTAAAACGTACACATTTACGGAAATTTCGTTGAATTTTTCAAATATATGAATTTGATTTAGACCCATCGGTGTTGGGCAATTTTCAGTTCTTAAAACGCCCTTATAATAAGGATATGAAGTTGGTAAGTGTTGTTTGAGATGTACAGGAAAACAAGCACAGACCACTGACCAATAAAAACAGGCTTCGTCATTATTTTGAATATTAATGCATGCATTTTTTCTCTTAATTTCTGGGGGCAATTCAATGTAGGAAGAGCCGTTACCCACTTCAAATTTGTTAATATTAATTTCCAAATAAAGAATTTTTTGCAAGGCAAATCCCGAATCGCGTTCTTGAAATTCAGACAATTTATTTAGAATTTGAATTTTAACATTTTCAACGAACCATTCGTTTAAATCCGTCCCCAAGTCGATGACAGCATTTTTGGTAGAAATATATTTCACGTCGGTCACGTCTTGGTCGTCGCTTTTTCTCTTTATAAATTCCCCGCAAAACGTGGCATTTACTTTTAGCATTGGCGACGCTTGTTTTAAAATTTTTGAAATTTTTTTCTTAAATATGACAAGACAGTCGTTTAAAAACTGTTGTTCGTCTTTGTGTTTCAAATTGATTATTACACCCGTTAAAACTCTTCCCTGGAAACAAGATACTATCTGCTCCCACAAAACCCTTTGTTTTATATTTGCAGGACTGTTGTTTTGCAACCCCATTCCAAAATGGTGGCGATGATTCAAAATCATTTGTTTAATAGTCTTAAGATGTTGAATTGTTGTCTGTATTTTTCTTTGTAACCCCATGGATATATTTTTTTTTGGACTACGAACAATCTTGTTGCACCGAATGATGTTTCTGCGTAAACGTCCCAACCAAACATTTTTATCTTCTTCCGTTAAATTATCGAACACGTATTTGTTCACTTGACGAAAAGCCAAAATTAAATTTTGAGCGTCCTCAATAGTTCGCGTAAAATTCATTGCGACCAATTAATAATAATAATATTTGAAAAAATAAGACTTACCGTCTCTCTCTCTCTCCCCCCGTAATTTTTAATTTTGAACAATTTCAAATTGTTGAGCGGGCCAACTGCCGACTTCTTTAACGCCCCGATAAACCAGACTGTAGCGGCCCGTCGAAAATTGGTCTATAATCGGCCGGAAGCTGTCCGTCACCCGGTTCGGCAGGAACACCACCGATAATTCTAACTCCAATAGAACCGCCTCCCCAAACTGGGTCTTTACTATTCTGGCCTTGTCTATCTTGTATGGTCGACCAACGCATAACTGCCCCAACTTAACTATTGGTTTTTGATTCTCTTTATTCGCTGCAATTTTTTCATTTAATGCTTTTAAGTCCATCTATAACGAAAGTAGAATCCTTCAGTTCAATATTGACAATTTTTTCAAAAAACAAAAAATAGTACTTACTTTGGCGTTGGTTTGGGATGGGTGCGGTGGGGGCGGCTAACACTGAGATAACACGGATCGTTTGATCAATTAAGCGACTTGATCACACACACAACTCAAGCGGTATTTAAATGATGTTACAAACAATCGAAACCTTTTATATACTGAATTTCGACAGCGGACTAATATGAAAGTCTCGTTGCGAAGGCAGGCGACGCGATGATCTCACCCGCCAAGGTTTCGTTTAAACATTTCGCAAAGCGATGATGTCATGCATCCGCTGCCGCACACCGGCGGGCGATGATATCATCCAGTCGTCAAACGCGACGGCGGCGGTACGCCATCGCACACAATCGCGCTGCAATTTACATTCATACCGCGATCAACGGTCGAGATTCGAAGCGAAGCTCACACCAGAATATATAATAATTTAATGGCGATAATTGATTTGTTTTAACATATTCATTGCGACCTAATAATAATAAAAATATTTGTAAAAAATTAAACTTATGTTAGTCTTTTCCCAGAATACATAATAATTTAGTGACGATAATTGATTTTGTTTTTAACATATGCATTGCGACCTAATAATAAAAAATATTTGTAAAAAAATTAGGCTTATGTTGGTTTTTTTTTATTCTAATGTAAAATGTATATGTAACTTTTTTTTCACTTCCGATTCAACAGGTTTTGTTCTAGTTGTTGTTGTTGTTGTTGTTGTTGTTTGGAGGAGTGTGTGTGTGTGTGTGTGTCTAAATAAAAAAAACACTAAAGATTTTTTTTTTTATTTACATCAACATCGACAATATTTTTAAAATAAAAAAAACTATGGGATTGATGCGGGCAGAGAGGACGCTAAACTTGCAAAATGTTTAAGTTTTTTTCTGCATTCGTCGGAGTGAAGACGCGCCACTTGTAACTCGCTCTGCAGCAGGGCAATTTTAGTTTCAGTCTCTTTGATCCGTTCCTCGTTTCGCACCAGCTGCGACTCTAAAAACATTTTCAACTGGAACGCTTCGCATACCACCCTTCTTTCTTCGTCGTCTATAAATGTATCGAACCAACCGGAGGAGGAGGAGGAGGATGAGCCGGTATGCTGCTGCTGCTGCTGCTGCTGAACCGTTTCTTCTCTTTTTCTTTTTTTTTTGTGAGGCTTTGGGGGCGTCGTCGTACTACGACGCCGTTTTGACGGTTTTCTTACTTGTTGTTGTTGTTGCACTTCCGGTGGTGGTGGTGGCGGCGGCGGCGTATAATGTATGTCGTAGCTCGTTAAAAATTCGTACAACTCTTCGGGGGGGAGCGATATTTGCTGCTGCTCCATGATGCGCGCCCCGACACAACTGTTACATCGACACTGAGACTTATAATACATTCGCGTTGTCAATCCACGAATCGTGCGACTTGTCCAATCCCAACCAGCGTACCAAAACTTTTTTACCGCGCCTGCGCAGAACCTTTTCAACGAGATAGACGTCAGGATTGGCCGTTTTTTGCAATTCTTCTTCGTAAAATCCTCCCATTATAGGTTTACCGTTCATATCTTCGAGAAGATACGTCACCGGGTTCGTGATCTGCACTTTGACCACTTTAAATAGTTCGGTGGTCCAATTCGGCGTGTATCCTTTGTTAAACACGTGTTTGGCTTTACTAATTCTAACCACGTCACCCACTTTCAATTTGCTAGCTCCGAATATTTTCAGGTGACTGAAAGCGCTCTTCAAAAGTGAATCGGCGTTACTTTTATTCACCGCGTTAGGTTTCATTCCCGTCGTTCTGTGTTTCTTGTTGTTGTATTGTTGAACGACAGAGGGCAGCACGTCTGTCCAGCGGTACGTTCCGTTTAACGAGAAATACCGATGCAATTTTTCTTTGAGCGTCCTTATTACACGTTCGACTATCGCAGCCTTTTTCTTACTGTACGTACTATAATGATTTATTTCGTGCTTGGTCATGAGCTTCTCAAAATTGCCATTATAAAATTCCTTGCCCAGATCCGTTTGCAGGTTTTTTGGGTGTCGATCCCGTGCCTCTTTTAGAATTTTGGCGAAGGCCTTGGTCACATCACTACCCATTTTTCTTTTTAACGGTTCGCACCACACGTATTTTGAAAAACAATCGATAACAACCAATATAAATTTAAAGTTTTTATTTTGTTTCGCATATCGATCGAGCTGGGCCAAATCGGCCTGCCACAAATCATCCAACCCTCGTATTATAGTTCTGCGACGCGCATAATTTCTACGTGCCGGCCTGTGCAGTTCCCGCACGAGTTGTATCTTTTCTTTACTACTCATTCGTCAATTTGGTCCGCTGCTCTTTTTTTGGGCCGATACGACTGTTGCTGCGGCGGGTGATTGAGAATCTTTAATTCCAACGCCCTCGTTATATCTTTATTTTCCCGGGAGAGTCGATTCACCTCGGGAACAATCTCGTCGAATCTCCGTTCCGTCACTAACGCGTGACTTTCCAACTCTTGCTTTGTGCATATCTCGCCTAGTTTGCGATCAAGGTCGCGGCGAAACTTTAGAAATTCACCTCGAAACGTTCCAACTTGTTGCTCTAAACGTGCGAATCTACTCTTGTTTGCTTCCAACGCCAGGGTAATGTCCCTGTTTTGCCGCGAGAGTCGCTCCACCGCTAAAGCGTGTTTTTCGAACGCTTGTTCTTCTGGGGCTAGCAGCGGTGGTGCGATGACGTTCTTGGATCGTAGTCTTTTCGTAAGCGCCTCGTCCACTTCATCGTCCACGTACTTTTTGGTGGCCGCGTCGTAGTTTTCGCTAGGCATTTGGACATTGCAAATTCTTAAATGGTTCATATCGACGTTTCCCTCCGCGGTATAATCGAAGGCGGAGCTCTTTATCACGGTAGTTCGCTTGGAGCGGACACCGCTGGAACGTCCAAACTTGTCCAGACTCATTATTAAACTAACGTATTATACCGGCTTCTTTTAACTCTTCGACGATAGAGAGAATTTCGTTGTCCGCAGACGTGTTCCCTGCGTGTTTCGACGCGACCAGTAATTTTAGGCGCTCAACGAGTTCGTTGACGTCGTCCCAGTACACGTATTCCATAGGCGCGTTATTATAACGCATACTATAACCTTGTCCACTGTACGAATAAGGACGCGGTTTTACTAACGGTCGAATGACCTGAACGTACTTGGGTACCGTCGACGCGCGTTTTAGACGCCCGCGCGAGTCCCTATGTACCCCCGTGACATCCATAATTTTTTTATATTCTGCCAAATCGTTTTCGGTGTATGTCTGGGGGTTTTTCAAAAACACCAAATTATATAGACCGAGAGTGCCGGGGTAACGCGTGCCGTCCACAATAATGTCGCCGGATCTTCGATGAAAATCCATCCACTTATTGCCGAGAACCCATTTCGATGAGATCGAGTCATAAACGGGGCCATAAACGATGTCCGTGTCGGCCGATTTCGCCCATAAATTTTGAATATAAGGATGGGAAATCTCAGGATATTGATCCAGATATGATCGAAAGGACTCGTTAGCCACATTCGAGGTGTCAAACACTTCATCCTCCTCCCCTTCCTCCTGCTGAATATCTTGCATCTCTACACTACGATCGGCAGCCGAGGATGTCGCCGTTTCCCGAATCTCCTCCAACGGCAAAAACGACACGTTGTCGTTCTTTTTGATTTCCGCTTTCGGTTCTTGCTTGAGGCCGGTATGTTCGCTTTTTACTTTTAACAACGCCGGTTGGAGGGGTTTTATTTTCGCAATACGCTCGAGCGGCTCGCTGACGGGTTTAAAAAGTTTCCGAATGGACGCGTCCTCCTCGCTCTTGCCCAACTTTAGAGCCAAGTACTTTTTCCTAATTGACTTGGACAGGTCGTTTACTTTCCGTTTAAGCGCCGCGTCGGCGATGTCAACGGGCGCCGCCTTCATGACACTGTGTGTTTCCGGCGATCACTTGTCATCCACTTTTATATACTTATCAAAACCCTTGCGGTAACGGCCGTTTTTCAATTCAAAATCTTTGACAATTACGAGGCTTCCGTACTTGTCCTGCCAACAGGCGGAACAGATATTTTTGAACGCGTCGTACGAAACGTCGGGGGAGACGTGCTCGTCGTAAACGTGGTGTAAATTCACGTCATCCTGTTTAAACAGTACTATAATGTTGCAATTGTCCCTTATCAGTTGCTTGGGTATTTTGGAGTACGTCTGGCAGAGATAGGCCGCGTCGATGGACTTGTGTCGACACATTGAGAAATATTCGCCAATTTTATTTTGTTTATCACACGACACGTCGTCGAAAATGAACACGGAATTCTCTTTCGCTTCACTGGGGTCGATTATCTCGTCGCTATCCCTGTAAGGAAAGTATCCAAGTCCTTTGGTTTGCTTCATTACGCAAGACAGTAGTTGGTATTTGGGTTGATACAGCGACTTTGAGTAGACGTAAACGTTCTCGAAACGCGCTCCATTGGGGCTGAAGAGTAGCGTCAACATGGCGTTAGTTTTACCGCACCCGCTCGGTCCACAAAACATCGCCCTAAACGAGTTGGGTAACAGTTTTCCGTGTTTGCTTTTATTGTTCCCGCCCTCGCCGCAAACAAAATCTAAATTTTCGATGGGGAGTGCGAGTTTCTGTTGCACCACCCGCATGACTACAACCCTTATTCGACCACCCCCTTTTATATATATACAACATATTTCGTGAATCCTTTAGCGGGTGAGATCATCGCGTCGCTTGCCTTCGCCGCAAAAAATGCTTAAAACAAATTAATGAGCCACTCGGTCCGATTAGTAATCCACACATCCTGCGACACAGGAAATATGAAACGTTGATATTATTACCGCATGTGTTTCCTTCGCTGCCGGAAATTGCATTTTATTTTTAATTTTCCACACATAACGTGGTAGACTGAAATCCACGGGTCCTGCGTTGATCAATTTATTTAAAAAATTTCTCGCGTGGACAATTGATGCCTAATAGACTGAAATCCACGGGTCCTGCGTTGATCTATTTATTTAATAAATTCGTTGTACTCGTAATTTGTGCCACATATTTCCTGCAATTACGCGTGCCTATTGCGTCATGCGATTGCATCGTGGAACACCGGCCGCTTAGCGAAGTTGTCCGAACGTTGTCGTAATAAATA